TTTAATCACAGCCCCTTTTTAGCTTCTAAAGACAAAGTCATCCAGCTGTTGACACGGCTGAGATAAACAGGATTTACTCACTAGAAAATGTTTACTCATGAGGAGGACTGGCGGCTACTCAAGGTTTATCCAAGATGAGCAAACTTTAGCTAACTTGTAGAAGCTGCTTCCTTGATAGTTGCACTTTGGGGTAGGGTCCAAGAGCTTATTTCTTCCAATTTCATCTTTTTTTTCCTCATTTCAGTTAGTTAGATGTTGTTCTTAAACAGGATTTATTCAATTTTAGCTAGATGCCTGCTTCTTTTTAAAACAAAACTATTAGCCATCTTGGGTGTCCTCCAGGACAGAACAGCAGGATATAAATTAAAGAGTTTAATAATAATAAACTTTCAGAATAAAAAGATCACATCTTACCAGAGATATGATGTTGTTGTGTTGCTCCATTAACTCACCTCCATGGCAGGTTAAGTATTCCAGATTCATAGGCAATTTGAGAGCATGTAATGAAGTCACTTGTGACATTTGCACAATGTTATAATGCAGGGGTCTTCAAACTTAGCCCTGTGGATTTCAACTCCCAGAATTCCTCAGCCAGCATGCCTAGCTGAGGAATTCTGGGAGTTGAAGTCCACAAGTCATAAAAGGGCCAGGTTTGAAGGCCCGTTATAATGCATGTGATGTCACTATTTTCATTTATCATTTTTATAAATAAATCAAGGTGGCGAACACCTTCCACTATGGCTTCTAATGGATACCTGTAGCCAGATTTAATCTTTACAGGTGACCATTTACTTCAGACATGGGGCTTTCCTGCTATTCCTGAATACCATCAATTTCGGCAGCATGACCACGATGCTCTATGCTATTTAGAAGAGTATATAAGCTATTTTCAAAGGAATGTTTTCTCAGAATGACTGATTTAATCTTTCCTTTGGCTCTATAATCTGCAATGGAGACACAAGGATGATCAAGCCATGGTTTTATCATTGTTTATCAAATGAATTTTGAGTCATACGCAAAGACTAATGCATGGTTTATCAACTGCAATAGCTGGTCTCCCAAATTATCTTGAGCCCAAACCAAGCATCAGAGATGTCTGCAGAAGAATAAAGGAAATTAAGACGGAAGCTAGAACATAATCAAAGTCATGTCCATTTTTATGTATGTTGGACATGCTATGCATGTATTCAGGTACTCCTTCATTTATGACCACAACTGAGGCCTGAAATTTCCATTGCTAAGCAAGACAGTTAAGTAAGTTTTGCCTTATTTTACGACCTTTCTTGACACAGTGGTTAACCGTTACGTGAATCACTGCAACTGTTAATTGAATCATTTGGCCATTAAGCAGAACTGGCTTCCCCCATTGTCTTGCTTGTTGGAAGCTGGCTGGGAAGGTTACAAATGCTGATCACATGATTCCAGGACAGTGCAACTGTCATAAATACATGCCAGTTGCCAAGCATTTGAACTTTGATCACATGACCATGGGGATGCTCCAATGGTCGTAAGTGTGTAAACCAGTCATAAGTCAACTTTTTACAGTGCCATTGTAACTTGAACTGTCACTAAATGAATGGTTGCAAGTCAAGGACTACCTGTAAAGGATTGGGACTTTGATCACTTTGTGGCCATTCTCTCGATTTTTTTCACACACTCCCTCAGTCAAAGAAACCAAACTGTGGCCTAGGATTATATTCAGTTTATCTTTGCTCTGCTTTTACTCTGAAAACAGACTTGTTCCGCTTGACAAAGATCCATACCCAGCCTCTCTTGTTACAAAGGTTTATTTCTCTTTATGTACAGTATTTTTTAAAAAACCAACATTATATAGCATAGAAAGGGGCAGATCCTAGGCATTTGAGTAACAATTTAAAAAAATCTCTGGACAGGGCATGTAAACTTGCTTTATTTAACCATTTGCTTCGCAGGTTTGTGTGTGCTCAGTATCCATAGATTTCTCTTCCAAGCAATACTTGAACAACCCATTCTCAAAGCTGGGCTGAGTTGACTGCACTGTTGTTTCTGAATATTGTCTAACTATAAAACAGCCAGTGGTTCCCCCCTACCCAAAACCCCTGCTCTCCCTTTCTCATCCACCCACATCTCCCAGGGTCTGCTGGCATGGGATTTGTCTAGCTGTCCTATCAATGAATCATCCTTGTTGAAAGGGCTTTCAAAAAACATAATGTAAATTACTACATTTCCAGGATAGGAAGCTTAACATGACAGCACACCAGAAGTGCAGGACTTTAGATAGTAAAGATGACTCATCAACTGCAAAGGCCTCTACAAAGAAAAACATGGTCCTTAAGCAAAGAGAATATGGTTAGTGGATGGACTTTGTTTGCTTCACTGGAAGGACCCCATTGAATGGAAGCCTGTGGCAAGGAACCTCCAAACCATCATTGTCCGTGAACTCAACCTTTCCTCTGCCAAACTACATCATTCAGCTCCCAGAACCCTACATTGATTTATTCGTAGATCTCAAGATTATCGAGAAAAGGTTGGAGAAACCCAATTACGGTAAGTTGCTTATAATCTATGGCAGGGGTGTCAAACTGCTGGCTTGCGGGCCGGATGCATCATTGCGAAACCGCGCCCACCCCATTGCCAATGGCAAAAAAAGTCGCAATATGTCACGACACGTCACGTGATGTTGTGAGTTTGACACCCCTGAAGTATGGCGTTGCTCTTCAGCATCATGGGCAGCAGATCGCCCCCTTGGGCAGCTGCCAACCTTCTCTTGGCCTAAAGGAGGAGTGTCCAACCTTGGCAAATTTAAGATTTGTGAACTTCAACTGCCAGAATTCCCCAGCCAGCATTGCTGTTTAGGGAATTCTGGGAGTTGAAGTCCACAAGTCTTAAAGTTGCCAATGTATGGTGAGGTTGGACAACCCTGGTCTCAAAAGTCCCATGGTGGACCTCTCATCCCAAACTGCTTGTCATTTGCCCAGCAATTTTTTTGCTTCTCATTCTTTTGTTAAGGTGCTAAGGAATAGCCATTGCTGCTAGTGTTCAGTCTGCTTTTTCTCTGACCTTGCTCGTCAATAATAAGTTGAAATAAGCAATAATGCTTATTTCTCAGTAAATCTGCACAGCTTTACTATCAGCCCAGTGCAATGTAATAGTTCAGGTATTTCAGCAATTTCCAGTGTCTTGGCCGTATTTCAAATTACAGGGAGAGAGGAAAATGAAAGAAAACTCATTTTTCACCATCTATGGTAGACTTCACGGTAGCTGTTTTTAGACATCTACAACACTTATCTTCTGTGTTTCTACTGAAGCACTTCTTAGGACAGTTTGGAGAACGAGTGGCTCTTCAGATGTTCCTGGACTCCCAACTTTCTGTGGTCCCAACTAATAAAGACAATGCTCAAGGATGACGGAATTTTAATCCAACCATACCTGGAAGGCCACAACTCTGATATTCTTTTATTTGTGTTGAAGTCATAGCTTTCCTCCAAAAATTATGGTTAAGGTCGTATGAATGCTCCGTGGTGGATTCCTCAACATGCCCGACAGGGTTCAAGATTAGAGGATTCTTGTGCAGAGGGAGAAAAAGTTAGTGGGTGATAACTGGGATATGGATACCAGGTAAGGCAGCCTCTTTTAACCTGTTTCCTCCAAATGTGCTAGGGCTGAAATTGCTGGCTAGGAATTTTGGAGACTGCAGTCCCAGCACATCTGGTAAGGAACATCTGGAACAGCTTCCAGTTGACAAGCAAAAATCATTAATTTTCAAGGGATGGTGCACAAGCCCCTCTCTGGCAAGGTGCGTCATCTTATTGTCAGAAGGCACCATGTGGCTATGAAACAGACACTTCACAGTTCCACAGTAATCAGTTCAGACACTCGCTCCTTCTGTAAACAAGCTCCAAAGGCATTTTGGCACACACCTTCCCCTTAAGTTGTCTCAGACAATGCTGTCTGCTTCCCTTATGCACCAGCGAATTAGGGCTGTGTCCTGACCCATCTCCTTCTTGAAGTGCAGCCCCCAATGTATCATTCTAGAGTCAAGCTGACCCTCTCAAGAAAAAGGCTGACATTGACTGATCGACCTATAATGGATTCTGCCTACATTCATTCTCATATTATAGTTGTCACTCATTGGTTTCAAACATGATATCCAGATAGTACCAAGTCATGTATTCAGAGCATGAAGACTAATGAGGAAGGAGAAGAAATATTGTGTCCGCTGTCCGTATGATGGGAATGTCCCAGAATGTTGTAGGGAAGGAACAGAGTATCAAGACTCCAAATCCTGCAGGACTTAAACATGCTTATCACGCTAAGATTATTTGGCCAACGGCATCAGGACAATTGGGACTCCAGAGCAACGTCCCATATCTGATGCCATGAGACTACAACTCTCAGAATTCCCAGCCAGCATAGCCCTTGCAAGCTGGTGAATTCTGAGAGATGCAATCACGATATATTTGAAGAAGACTGGTTGCAGGATGGCAAATATCTTTATCCTATGGTCCTGTAGCCTTCCTATCCTTATCCTTGTAGGCTGCAGCAGGGTTAGGGAAAAGGTGCATTCAAGCATTTGGGGCTACAATTCCCCCAGTCCCTTGTTGCGGGCTGGAACCAATGGGGCTGAAGTACAAAGCCCCTTCAGAGCACCACAGGGCCAAAGGTTCTCCAGTTAATACAGAAGTGACTTAATTAAGAGAGGATGCACTATTAAACAAACAAAACCTCTCCTCCTGCCATCTACACCCTCACTCCTCCTCATCTCCATCTTTTTTTAATCTCCAAAAACTGGCCTGGCATCTATTTGGGATGAGTCAAAATTTAAAACACAGAACCACAATGATAAAAAAGCAATGCCCCCCCCAAAGGGAATAAAATTAAAATGAAAAAGAAAGGAGTCTTAAGCCCAGTTCTACAAGGTGGGACCCTTGGCTCCTGGCCCTGGTTAGGGAAGAACTTCCGCAGTGTGTCCCAGTTTCACACCACACTTGAGAGAGGTCCCCACGGGGTGAGCTCTCCGTGGCTGTCACCATCTATCAGTTACAGTTGGTTGTCTCCTGGCTGATACTGAGGCTCTGTAGCAGTGAAGTAGTCTTCTAGAAATGATTGGAGGTATTCAAAAGTGGGGCGCTCCTCAGGCTCCTTCCTCCAGCACTGCACCATCAGATCGTGCAACGATGGGGGGCAATTCCCAGGACAGGGCATGCGGTAACCCCGCTCCACTTGCTCCAGCACCTCCCGGTTGTTCATGCCTGCGTGAGAAGAACGTGAGAAGAGAAAGTGGTGGAATAGCTCTTTTATGACTCTCTAGGAACAGTGGTTCTCAACCTTTTTAATGCCGCGACCCCAACCGGTCGTAAGTCGAGGACTAAACCGGTCGTAAGTCAAGGACTACCCAACCGGTCATAAGTCGAGGACTTTCCCTGCCTGGGAGCGCCACGCATGCGTGGTTCCGCCCCCTGTGCCGGCCGAGGCGTAGCTGGCAAGCGGCAGAGACGGAGCAGGCCAATCACCAGCTGGCCCAGCTCAAGGGAGGTAAGGCACCCGCTGGAAAAGGGGAAAAAAATGGCGGACAGCCTTGCTTGGCGACCCCCGTGAAATGGTCGATCGACCCCAAATGGGGTCCCAACCCACAGGTTGAGAACCGCTGCTCTAGGAATCAAGGGAGAGCTAGTTTGGGATAGTGGTTAAGTCAGCAGCCTAGAAACCAGGAGACCACAAGTTCTAGTTACATCTTAGGTATGAAGCCAGCTTTGGGCTAATTGTTCCCTCTCAGCTCTAAGAGGAAGACAAGGGTTTTTCACTTTTGAAATTGTCGCCAAGACTGACTCAGAGGCACAGAACCACATAGACTCGCATACAAAAATAAAATCAAGGAACTGACCAGTGTGCAAATTCACAGGGACTGCACAATTTGGTAAGTCAACCCACACCAAAAAGGCAGGAGCTAGGTGAGAATACACAGAGGCACAACACATAGTTGGCACAAAACACAACCCACTGACTCAAGCATGCCAAATATGTGTTCCCCAGACCCCAACAAAATAGGGGGGCTAAAATTTGGCTTTTGAGGGGATTTTTCCAGAGTTTGTGAAGTTCTGAGACCCCAAAAAATATGTGCTTTCAAAAACCTCTTTATCTCTTCTCTACCCTCCCAACCACTTCTCCACACAAATCAGGTCAGCTCTGAATCTGGGCCCCAATGACTTTGGGAATACAGTCCTCAGTCAACCACATGAATCCTGAGATGGCCTTCAAGCCTGTAGAAATTGCTCAGTCAGGAGCTGATCAACCAGTGTTTATCAAATAAAGCATGGCAGATTAGGCTCAGACAGGAGCTCATGCAAGAAGCTAAAAGCTGCTAAAATTGCAGCAACTGCAATGACTGGATATTGGGCTCAACCCAGCCCAACCCAACGATGTTGTGGTTTAATGCATTATGTAAACCAAGGGGCAATTCCTTTTCAAAAGAAAACTGAATGTTGCAACAGTTCCTCTCTAGGCTAAGGGAAGCCTCTCCGACATTACCTGGGTAAGGTACTCGGCCCTTGGTCACAAGCTCTGTCAGGAGGATGCCAAAGGACCACACATCTGACTTGATGGTGAACTTGCCATAGAGAGCGGCTTCCGGAGCCGTCCATTTGATGGGAAATTTGGCACCTGTTGGCAAGGAGATGGAATTAAGAGGTTATGATCATACAGAAGGAGATGCCACCTGGATAAGAAAGACTCCTACTTTCTCCACTGTGGGAGAAACATCACCAGTGGATTTAAAATGGACTTCTTAGCACAGATCATACCAGCCTCCTCCCTCGAGAAACAGAGTCAGCCAAGGGAAAGCGTTCTTAATTTATGTTGTCAGAAGCCTCAAGCACCAATCTGGACAATCAAGGAACAAGTCCCTATGAGCTCTGACCAGTAAGGCTTAGAAGGGAAAAGGCTAAGGTGGCAGCACAAAACATGCCAATCACTGTTTTCGCTTCTGAATATGAACCTCATGTACAAACAATTTAGAAAATAAATTCTTGCCAAGTTAACAGTCCTCGTGAGAGAAAAATCACTGAAGAAATTCCTCTGTGCTTGGAAGCACTTTGTGGACCCCCCCTTTTTTTTTGCGGAAGATGGAGAAAAATCATATTTTGCCACATGGATTTGATGATTGTTAAAATTTAGAAAGATTTTTTTTTTAATTTCCCCTTTTCTTTTTGGGGAAAAATGGACACTATTATAGCCTTAAACTAAGAGTCAAAAGTAATTGTTCTCTATGTCCTTGGAAGAAGTCAGAGGTTATTCTTTTTATATGTTTGTGTTTTTCTTGTCCTTTTTAAATACTTTTTCAGACTTCTATCCTTACTCTCTTTTTATTCTATCATTTCTTTGGATTGCTGTTTTTTTATGTGTAAGTTTTGTAAAATGGAATAAAATTATTTTAAAAAAGGCAAATAACTTCTTGCTTGCTTTCTCCTGTTTTCAATATAGGATGGAGGAAGCTGTTATTTTGTGAAGATTGTCCAGTCTGCATCTGGATACGATTTACACAACAGCCATCTGGAGCGTGAGAATCCAGTTTCACATTGGGCTCTAGGGTGGAGATCAGCCACATCCTTCCAGATCTTAATGACATTTGTGGCAGGGTCCACTCTGGAAGTACCACTGATTTTTCCAATTCTAGATTCACTGCTCCTACTGCAAACTTCAGACTGCTTCTAGCATATTTTATTCAGCTCTGAGGCACCACATTGTAGGAAGGATATAGGTAAGTTTTAGCAAGGGCTTCTGAAGGTCATTTGGTTGCCCCCCCCCCCTGCATTGTACAGAGGCCATTGCTCAGTGGAACTGTTTGCCTTTGTAAGAGAAGGGCAGGCAGAGCCTGGGGGGGCAGAGTCAAGAGAGTGATCAGCCTGGAGTTGTTGTTTTCACAGTCTAAGTCCAGCCCCTTTTGAATTCCATTGATTCTTATCTAGTGCAAATTTAATGCTGCTAGTAGACTAGATTCTTGTGTATAGGCATGAGCCATAAATAAGATTAACTGGAGCTTAACGTGTAGTCCTGATTCTTCGTGCCTGACAGCCTTGCACAAAGAAATCCTCAGCTTCAGTGTGGCACAAAAAGCTCTCTCTCCCCAAGAGCAGAGACAGCATCTGCCAATCAATGGTTAATTGCACAAATAGCTTCGCCTGCTTAAAGGTGACTCTTTCTCCTGCTCCAGGCTGCCCCCGAGAGTTTACCTTGGCGAGCTGTGTATTCATTGTCTTCAATGAGGCGGGCCAAGCCGAAGTCAGCAATTTTGCACACAAGGTTGTCGCCCACAAGGATGTTGGCAGCACGCAGATCCCGGTGGATGTAATTCATTCGCTCAATGTAAGCCATTCCAGCTGCAATCTGGATTGTGTGCAGAAGCAGAAAGGCAGGGATGAGATGACACAGGAGATTCAATCGTTCAGCTCCTTCTGTTCTTAATAGATCCTGGGCAGCCATCTCTCCCCTCCCCTCCCCTCCCTCCAACGGAGTCAGAAGATGATGCTCCCAATTTTCAGGCAGACTGACCACTGATACTACCTCCTGCCCATCAGGTTACCTGTGCTGCCATGTCCACCAGTTGGGGCAACTTCAAGAAACGGCCATCCCCATCTTTCAAAAAATCTAGCAAACTACCTGCAGAAGAGAAGAGGTGGGAGATCAGCAAAGCCACTTCTCGGTAGAATTCCTGTACTATGATAAACTTGCAGCAGTGGTCCACTGGCTGCTTCCTCCTGTTCCTGTCCATTCTTCATAGAACAAATTATTTGTGGAGGACACGGGATCTGAGACAAAACACTGGAAACCCATTCCCCAGCTCTCCCAACTTTCTACTCTAAATGTGTCAGGATTACAGTTCCCATCAGGCCAAGCTCCAGAAGTCTAGTAACAATGGAGGGTACCAGGTGAAGGAACGTGAGCTAGTATACAGGTGAGTATGTTCTCAGACTGGTGGAACCATTTGGAATCCTGAGAGCTTGCCAAAACGTCTGGCATAATGAGCATGGAGGCCACAAAACCGGAAATTCAACGGTTGAATCTGCTCTTCGGCACCCTGAATTTGCCCCTCTCCTCCTGCCTGGGAGTGGGAGGTTGAAGGAAGGATGGGGCTTAAAGGCCAAGTGCAGCACAAGCATGAAACTGGAGCACCAACTGTTTTTATGATTCTAGAATTTTCATAGGACCGATGTTGAAATAATGACACTGCTACAAATAATGGTGCTGTGTGTCCCTTCGCAGGGTGCCAGGTTCCTATTTAATTTTAATAAAAAGAAACAAACTCCGTATTTTAAGGCACCTGACAGAAGATGAAAGGGGTACCTAAAAACATCCTGAGGCCCACAGGTACCATGTTGCCTATGCTGTATCACTTCCCCTTTCCTGAGAAAGAAACATACCTTGGATAGGGTGATCTTAGAAGGGAAAGTGGTTCATGGCCCTCTCCCATGATGTTGCTGTCTCCATCACCCACATGCCTTGATAACACGATGTTCCTAACATGTGGTCTTCCATCCAGGTTAGTGGGTGGGTTCTAGGTCTGCTTAATGTCAGTGGGCCTACACATGCCCTTCATTCTGAGTCGACTGTCTGGACCATGGGCATCTTTCTGATCCTAACCCTCCAAGCTCAGGTGTCATTTTGGTAGCCCTGGGTGGCTATTCAGTTTGAAGGCAATTCAGTTCTTTTTCTTCAATCAAGTCTCCCTAAATTGACTTGCATTTGGACAACTCTTGTGGCCGAACGCGCACAAGCTCTTTTTAACATCTAAAAAACATGCTTGATTTGGACAATTGGGTGTGAACAAATTCAAGCCACTGGATCAAATTCCCGAAGTGACTCAATAGTTTGGATCAAACCGACTTGATGGTTGAATTGAACCAACACTTCTCACTTCACCCAATTCACAGAGGCCTGCTGGTTGGCCACTGTTTCCACCCACCCATCTAGAGAGGTCGCTGTCACTGGAGGCAGCTTATCTAACCTTGGCTCATGAACTCAGTAACAATGTAAATGGGCTCTTCTGACACCACAGCATACAGCTGCACCAGTTTGTCGTGCCGTAAGCGCTTCATGATCTGGGCTTCCTCCAGGAAAGCTTCTGGAGACATGGTTCCAGGTTTCAGCGTCTTCACCGCAACTTTGGTGGTACCATTCCAAGTGCCTGGAACCAGCAAGAACCAGGGTCAGGGTCACTGAGGATAGAGACAGCAGGGCCCAGAACCCAAGGCCTCCCCCTAACCCAATGTTATGGAAACAGATATGGCTGGAAGAAGTCTAGGTTCAGCGTCCTGCAACCCAGGGCCCTCCAGATGCATTGGGACTTCAGTTCCTAGAATCTCTAACCAGCAGGTCTAAGCTGGGTCCATGATCCTTGGAATTCCCCCAAATCATCTTGGGAGCACAACGTTAAGGACAGCTGACCCTAACAACTAAAATGAGATGATAACAAACATGAGATGAGGAAGAAATGATGGGTCAGGGATGCCTCCACACTGAGGAGCTCAATTCAAAAGAAATCATTTCCCACAGCTGACATTTCCTTGGCTATGCGCGGCATGGTGGCCTAGTGCTAAAGATGCTCACCTCCCACTCAGAAGGTTGAGAGTTCAATCCTAGGCAGTGACAGGTGTTTCTCTATCAGGGCACAAAGAGGAAATATCTGCTGCAAACTTGGTGTGGTGTCAGGAAGGGCATCCAGCCAGCAAACGTTCAGCTCCACCCGGTCGGCCCCGACTATACCCCGAATTAAGGGATTACAGGGTCGTAAAAAGGGAGTTTGTGTGCATCCTTCTTGAGGTTCAGGTTTCCAAACTGGTCTTATCTGGCAAGAGCTACTCTATTGGTTGGTTGCTTTTTTACAGGTGCAACAATTGTGCAGTTGTTCAGGTATTACTCGACTTACAACCATTCATTCAGCAACTGTTCAAATTTGCAACGACACTGAAAAAAGTGACTCAGGACCAGTTCTTGCACTTATGACTGTCACAGCATCCCCTGATCATGTGATCTAAATCAGGATGCTTGGCAACAAGCATATATTTATGAAGTTAAAGCATCCTGGAGTGATGTCATCATCATTTGGGACTTTCCCAGCTGGGTTCTGACAAAATCAGTGGGAAAAGCCAGACTTGCTTAACAACTGCATGATTTACTTAACAGCTGCAGTGATGCACTTAACAACTATGGCAAAAAAGGTCATAACTCACTTAACAACTGCCTCACTTAGCAATAGAAATCTTGATCCCATTTCTGGTCATAAGTGGAGGACTACCTGCACGTAGGAGACCTCATGTTAACCAACACTCAACTTATTCTCTAACTGTGGATCTTAGTAGATCCGAGTGATCGGCTGGTATCTAGACCAGGAATTCTGCCCCGTAGTATTTTATATAGGTCTTCCACTTTCAGTCTATGGGACAGGAATATATGCCAACCTTGATGGGAGAAAGATATGCTGTTAAGACAGACGATAGCCACATGCTCTGGAGAAAAGATGTGGCTGCTGTAAAGAGTTGCAGATGGGGGTTACGCTTCTGCAAGCTCTAAAGCACCTTCATGGAACTGAGTCCAATGCACTACAACCTTTTGGTCACCAGGGACCGGTTCTGTGGAGAAAGGTTTTTCCACAGACAGAGAGTGTGTGGTTTTGTGGGCTGCCTGCATCCCACCGATGGGGTTTTGCTTGTTTGTGCAGACCAGTTGCTGGCATGCCGTGGCCCAGTACTGGACCACGGACCGGGGGTTGGGGACCCCTGCGCTACACAACCCTAGGGTGTTCCCCTGAATGAAACAGAGAGGTAAAATTCATCTTCTGATGGGTCTAATCCAGGGGTCTTCAAACTTGGCCCTTTTATGACTTGTGGGAGTCCACAAGTCATAGAAGGGCCAAGTTTGAAGACCCCTGGTCTAATCAATGATCTTCAAGCACAGTCCGAGCCTAAAAGGAGCCCTTCTCCAGGGAAGGCTGCCCACCTCGTCCATGAGTGCCCTCTAACCCTGATAAAAAAAACCCACCCCGATCCCTTGCCTTACCCATCCACACATCTCCGAAACAGCCCATGCCAAGCTTCTTGTCAAAGTGGATGGACTCGCGCCTGATCTCCCACGCGTCTTTAGACAGCCCCATAGTCTGGGGTCTCAGGGTGGGGCAGAGTTTGGTTAAGAGGTAGCAGAGACCGTCATTGAATTCTGTAAGGGGTGGAATGAGGGAGGGTGGAAAGATGGGATGGAATGAGATGGGAAAGCAGAATGATGGATGGAGCATGCACCCAAGAGAGGAGGCTGGACTTTGAGCAGAGGAGGAGAAGGAGCAGAGCACAGGCAGCAATATTGCTTTCAACCACCAGGTGGTGCCCTTGGCTCACTTTTAAAGCATCAAGGACTGCACTACATTCCTGCAACTTCATTGCAAATATTGAGCAGTGAATTTGGAGCATGTCTGACTTGTCAGCTAAAGTCTCCACTACTGTATCCTGGTCACCTTTGGATTCAGCTACAGGCTATTTTCAAAATCTTGTTCAGAATACAGATCTAACATTGTAGCATAGAAAAATGAGGCAGAATGTCCCCCGGTCCAAGACCAGTCACTGCTTTAACTTAAATCACCATGCACCGTTTGGACCACTTCCACGTTGTCTTCCAAGACTTTTAAGAAGAGTCGCCCCAACTCAGACCAAACCCCTATCAAATTCTACATTCTCTTCTTACCGGAGAAGCCATCCAGATGCCCTGGGTTAAGAAACCCACAAGTAGCACATGGTTACAATAACGCTCTCCCCTCTGGTAATCAGAGACATGTGCTCCTTCTCATGCTGGAGCTTAGAAAGAGACTCGGGATTCATAAACACTGTTCAAATCTTTCCATTGTGGATTTATCTAACTCTCTTTGAAAGGCTTCCAAGTTGGCAGCCATCCCTACCTCTTGTGGCAGCGAGTTCCGTTGTTTAACTACCTATTGTCTGGAGGACTTCCTGTAATTCATCTTGCAGCTTCTCCCCAGTTCGTCTGCCTCATGACTTTGCCATACTGAAAGAAACGCAGCCATCCCCGGAGAAAGACTGATTTTACTCCATCCCTTATCACAGCACTAGCAAGTCCCCTCCCGAGCGCCCGGGGTCTCCCCAGCTCCTTCTCTTCCTCTTCTCTTCCGCACAGCCTCCTGATGGCTGGTCGTACCCATCCACACTTCCCCGAATTGCCCATTGCCCAGTTTCTTGATGAGCTGCAGCGATTCGCGAGGAATCTCCCAAACGTCTTTGGTTTTGACGGACAGGTCTGCCAGTTTGGGCATCCCCTTAGGGCACGGCACGGCCAGGCGGCAGCACAATCCTGCAGCTCTCTCTTGCAATAGAAGCCCCCAAAACCGAGGGGGAGAGGAGGTGGAAGAGCAAGAGATGCATCACAGAAACAGGGAGGCAAAAGAGAGAGAAACAAAGGGTGATAAGACGAGGACGAACTGGAAAGGAACAAGAGAGGAAACACTGTCCCCCCCCCCCTCAGTCCGCAGCTCAGAGAGAGTTATCAGTCCTTGCAGAAAGCAACAGAGGACCGGAGCCTCATTACACGCCTGTTGAAAGGGTGATAAAACAGCTGCAGTTATTAGGTTTCCCATTTCCACCCCCCTTCCCAGTTCTGTGAAAGTCATAGCAATAGCAATAGCATTTAGACTTATATACCGCTTCATAGTGCTTTACAGCCCTCTCTAAGGGGCTGTAAATTTGGGTCCTCATTTTACCAACCTTGGAAGGATGGACGGTTGAGTCAACCTTGAGCCGGTCAGGATCGAGCTCCTGGCAGTGAGCAGAGTTTGCCTGCAATACTGCATTCTAACCACTGCGCCACCACGGCTCATATAAAATTGAGGAATAAAAGATACCTAGTGCAATCAGTTGGACAGTGCAGACTCCACCACCGCATTTCGGATAGACAATCTCCAGAAATATTATTTTGCTATAAAACTTTTTTTGGGAAAAGAGTGATGGAGCCATAATTGAGAGCTGAGGAAAGTTATGGTTTGCCCTTTAGGATTTGGTAGCCATCCCAATCAAAGTTGCTAGGAGAGGGGATCAAAAGTCTGTTGCTATTCCATTGCACAACAGAAACTCTGGAGAATGTCTCAAATATTCTCACTTTGGCTAAATGCCAATGATTGGTTTTAGTTGAGTTTCTATCTCATCTGGCATCTTTTCAATCCACTTGTTGATAATTATTTCCCATCTTTTCTTACCCTTTCGAAAGGAAAATAGGAGACAAACCAGGAAACGGAGTTTTCAAAGCAGTGCCAAAATGGGAAGTTTGACCTTTGCAAGCCTCTGCTTGCAAAATTCAGGAGCAGATCTCACAGCTGGTAGCCTTGGATACTCTATACATCACATACTAATTTATCTCTCTTTGTGTTTATTTGATAGACATGATTGGTTACAGGTAGTCCTCGACTTATGATGGCAATTGCGACTGGAATTTCCATCTCTAAGTGATGCAGTCATAAAGTGTGGATGCATTGCTTAGCAACAGCAATTCCTCTAGTCCCGGTTGCTGTCATTAACTGAATTCCCTCGGTGTTAGGCAAGGCAATTTCCGGCTGGCTTCCTGCAATCAAAGTCAATGGGGAAGCCAGCAGGAAGTTGAAGTCCCAGGCCAGCAGACAGGAAAGTGGATAATGGAAGAAGGGATCTATGAGAATGCAAGGGGGTTTGGGAAGTGTGCGTGGGGGTAGTGTGAGGGCACAGGTCTGGGGGGTGCATGAGTGACTGGTAAGCATAGGGGGTTGAAGGAGCTTGCACAACTGGGGAAGAGTTACCCCAGCAACTTGCAACCTTCCCTGTCGGCTTTCCCACTGACTTTCTGGGGAAGCCAGCAGGGAAGGTTGTAAATGACAATCACAGGATCATGAAGCGCTTGGCAACCAGTCCTAATTGTGAATTGATTGCCAAACACCCAGACTGTGATTATGTGACCATGGAGATGCTGGGACAGCCAGAACTCTGAGAACTGGCTATAGCCACCATTCATTCACCGTTATAACTTGGAACAGTCACTGTTGTAAGTCGAGGACTACCTGTATTGGTTTACTAGCCACAGAACCCTGGCTAAATCCAGGTCGAGACTACGACAGAAAAGATGGTTGGAACCTCATCTTTTCCTGAATCCATTTTTAAAAAATCATTCGCTCTACTGGAATTGGGTCCTGATGGCTGCACAAAGCCCGAAACAGCCAAAACAGCCTCATTGGTTGCAGAACATTCTTAGGCATAAACCGTGAGCCACTTTTTAGCATAGGATGTGTGCAACTTCAGTCTGATTGATTTATCCCTGAACCACGATAGAGGAGCTCTAACAATCTTGAAGGCAGAGCAAAGGACTCAAGAAAATTAATTAATTAAATAGCACTCCACAACCAGCCTCAAAATATCCCAAGGAGGATCCCAAATGCAGGAGTTGGCACCAGATCTCCCATCATTCTCCTGCCGGTGTCTTGCTGTAAAGAATCATGGAGATGGCTTTGGAAAAAAATATTCAGAAGCTGTACAAAAAACAAAAAAAGGGTGAAAAAATTCCTTGAGGTCTGGGAAAGATTAGGAAGATGCTCAGGCTGATTCTTCCCTGGCTCATTAGAGCTGTGATTCTCAACCCTGGTGGCTTTTAAGATGTGTGGACTTCAACTTCCAGAATTCTCCAGTCAGCAAAGGTTGAGAAGCATCACATTAGAGTACAAGAGGGAGGAGAGGAAAAACATAATCAGACTTGCAATGATTAGCTTAGTTCTAGTTTTCTTGTGGAGTCTCTTTCCTAATCTGGACAATCTTGAAAGGTTGACATGTTGATCTTTCCTTTACCAATCTTAACACCTGCCCGTCTCTTGAACCCATCACTCTTTACCTCTGTAATGCTGCACCAACTGTTGCACAGTCTCAAACTGGGTCCGGGTAGTGATGTAATAGCCACCACTGTCCAGCTTCCGGATCTTGTAATGCTTGACATGGTCTCCCTTCATCTCATCCCAATCCCGGATAGACAATGAGTAGGCACCTAGGAAAAGGAGATGGGAAGCAGAAATGGGTTGTGTGAAAGCAACCTGACTTTGGCATTACTACTGAATTCCAATTTGCAGAAACTTTAGCCAGGGAGGCCAACTGCAAGCCATGCTGGGGATTGTAGTTTAACCTCACTGGGATGGTCAACATATTCCTTGCCTCCCCAAATGAGGAGCTAATAGAATATAGAAGATGACAACATTTTAGAGAATGTTGGAAATCATTCGTGTGCCCTTCAGTCTGATGTAGACTTATAATTAACGCAAGAAAGTTCTTCCATGTTTATTTAATCTGTAGATATGCTGGAATCTCCAGCTAGATAGAGGGAGGTGTTAAGAGGGGCCTAGCTAAGAGTCCTTGCATTGCAGAAAGTGACACAAGTCTGACTCCCCCAGAATTCCTGAAGCCTTAACTAACCTTCCCAAGGGAATGCAGTCAGTCTGGTGAGATTCTTAACATAGGTGATTAACAATAAAGCATCTGCTTGAGACTATTAACAAGAGGTTTTGATTGCTTGTGCCTGACAGTAAAACCCTAAAAGATTTGCAACCCGAATACCTTAAAGAATATCTTCATCCCAAATATTCTTCCCCAAAACATCCATCAATATTGGGAGCCCTACTTCAATTTGCAATTGGTAGCAAAGCAGGGACAAATTGGAAATAAACATTTTTCACAGAGGCTCAGTGTTTACAAAATGCCTTTCCAATTAAGCTCCAAGTATTTCTCCATACACCACTTATTTAATTAGATGAAAGGGAATTCATATTGTTTTTGTTTACCCTTGTATAAGTGTACCCCTCCCCAATTCTGATTAAGACCACCTTGCTTAGAGAAGGCTTACTACTTTCCCCAACACTGGAACCCCACAAAAAGTCTCAAAGCCCCTCGCCCCCCTGCACCAATAGATTCTCTCTTGTTCTAAATCTGTCTTTTCACTGGGTGGTCTGGCCTGGAACCACAATATTCACCCTGGTAGAAGCAGACTCTGAGCGTGCAAGCCCTACAACAAAGCGATTCACCAAAGTCCATGCTATGTTTTGAGTTTGAGAGGTAATTTATAGTGTTCCCTTATATTGTTTGTTGTGTTGGTTTTCAGCAACCCCAAGATGGATGGACTTCAACTCCCAGCATTCCCCAGTCAGCACAGACATAATGCTCAGTGTGGGAACACCACCCTCCACCTATATTATTGACATTCTCATCTTCTTTGATGTTTCTAAAGCAACTTCTTTATTACTGAATCTAATGAGACCAGGTAGGAAAAAAATGCAAGAGAATACTTTTTTCTCCAAGATCTAGATGGGACTCTTGCAGACCAGAAGGCAGCAGCCTAAGCTAGGAAGGCAAAATCCGGAAGCACCACACACGGTTCTGTCCCCCAAGGGCTTGCCAGAAGGCAAGGGAAGGAGGGTGACACCCCAGTGGTACCTTTGGTGGTTTCACTCTCGCGGATGAGAAAGGTCCCCCGGGGGTTGCCATGGCACAGCAGCTGCCTCTCAGCATCCTTCCGGCCAATCTTCCCAAAGTACCATCTGGGAAGAAAGAAGGGATGCTCTGGATCAGCGTTTCTCAACTTTTAAGACATGTGGACTTCAACTCCCAGAATCCCCCAGCCTGCCTATAGTACACCTGCCAGATTTCACTAAACATCCCTCCAGTCTGCTTCCTGCCCCCTGTACTTACTCTTCTGCTTGGATGGAGTCCACAGGAGCCACATAATTGCTGGGGATGTAGCCGGTGGCTCCCGTGGTCAGGGAGCGTGCCTCCCACCAGTCACCCTCTCTGTAGCAAAAAAGAGGGGAAAAACACAACGTCAGTGATCCCCTGCTTGGAGTTTCACCAGCAAAAGGATACAGAATCCAGAGAGAAGCTCCATCAAAAGGAACAAAAAGTCAATAAAATTGACCTTTTATTGCATTACTGTCAGTCAAGAGTGGACCATATTTGGCTAATTTGCCAAAAGCCCTTGGGGTCTGCCTTCTTTTCACACCTGCAGTGTGCCCTGAATCGACAGTGAACTCTGTGCAAGCAAGATGAGCAGAGATTTCCCTGAAAATCCCACCCTATTGTTTTGCACATGGACATAACCATATACACACGCGTAATCGAGTTAAGCTCAGCCCATGGTTATCCCAGGTGTGCAATTCCACAGACAGAAGTTAAAGGAGGCCGGGCCTGTTGACCTCCTAAGACTGAGAGTTGCTGTTTCTTTATTAATATCCTGCCCACGTTTCCCGTGAAGAAACTGAAAGCAATGTACATTGCTTGGTAGTTCCCATCCAGAAAGTCAAGGCTGTTTAGCTTCGGTAAGGAAGATGTCCTGTGTTCCCATCATGTCCAAACCCAACACTCACGTGTTGTTGATGATGTGGAATTTCTCTCCCTTGATGAATGTCAGGTCATCCTCTGTTCTGGCTTCGTAATCATACAAGGCAATAAAAAGGGTCACTCCTCCACCTAGAAAGAGAGAAAAAGGGACCAAAGGAAGCTGTGCAGGACAAACTCAGCCTTGGGTGCATTGCCATCTATGGCATCCTGAGTCCATAGAAGGCCTTCAATGCTCCACTTTCTTGAATGGTTGGACAGAGATGGTGAAAAGTCAGTGTCTTCCAATAGATTGAAAATGTTCTTCTCTACTAGATGTGCTTCTGAAGTTCTTCCTCTGGCACAGTTCCCCAGCTTATTTTATTATTTTATTTTTACACAGTGCCCATGAGTGCTACTGTTTTGGGGGATGTTTGGTTTTGTCTACAGGTCTCTCCGTCAGTCTGTAGTCCTCCTCGCTGCCTTCATTTCCCAGACTGAGTAAGCCCTGAGGAAGTTCCCTCATGATGTCTTGACTTGGGGTTTAACCCAAGCATAGGAAAGTAGGAAGGCTGCAGACTACAGGCAGGTATAACAAAAGATGGGAAGTTTAAAACCACCAGATGCCCACACCTTACCCATAAGACCTTCACTGACCTTTGATTCCCCTTTCCTTTGGGGAAAAAATGAAGACTTCCCACCTTGCTCCCATTACTATTATTAGAGAATATTTTTTTTAAAGTAACAAATGAACAAGTGTTGGAAGGTGCTAGGTTAGGAGTGGGAGAGCCAGATTCTGTTGCTCTCAGCCACATAAGTTGCTTGAATGACTTTGGGCCAGTCCCTTCCTCTCAGCCCAAGAGTAAAGAAATGGGTGGCATATAAATCTAATAAATAATAATAAAATAATAAAATAATACTATAATGTAATGTAATGTAATGTAATGTAATGTAATGTAATGTAATGTAATGTAATGTAATAATATAATATAATATAATATAATATAATATAATATAATATAATATAATATAATATAATATAATATAATATATAATAAATAATATAATAAATATAATATAAATATAATACAATACAATGTAACGTAACGTAACGTAACATAATAATACAGATAGTCTTTGACTTACAACCATTCGTTTACTGACCGTTTGAAATTACAGTAGCGGTAAAAAAAAATGACTTATGATTGTTTTTCACACTCATGACCATTGCAGCATTCCCATGGTCACCTGATCCAAATTGGGGTGCACTGGTTTGTACTTACAACGGTTGCAGCATCCCAGGGTCATGTGACCACTTCCCAGCTGGCTTCCGACAAAAAAAGTCAATGGGGAAAGCCAGATTCACTTAATGACCTCATGATTCGCTTAACAGCTGCTGTGATTTATTAAGAGCTGCAGTGATTTACTTAATAGTTCTGGCAATAAAGGTCGTAAAACGGGGCCACTTAACAACTGCCTTGCTTAGCAATGGAAATTTGGGGCTCAATTGTAGTGGTAAGCCCAGGACCACCTATAAAGACAGCGCATGGGTGAAGGTGTTGGACCAGGATCCCAGGACCCAGTTTTCCTTCTCTTAGATCCAGAAGCCTACTTGATTGCTCTCTCCCAGCCTAAATACACTTGGACAAGGGTGGCAGATCTTGACCCACAGCCTTCAGTGACCATAGAGGACACGTCTTGCAAGTTTCATTGTCTTTTAATGGTTGCTTCTCCTTCCGATGTTCGGGTGTTTTGTAAAATTGTACAGATAGTCCTTAACTTATAATCATAATCCAGCTCAAAATTTCCATTGCTAGACAAGGTAGTGTGTTTTGCCCCATTTTGCAATCTTTATTGCCAAAGTTGTTAAATGAATCACTTTAATTTTTAAGTGAATCATGCGGTCGCTAAGCAAATCTGGCTTCTCCCACCGACTTTGCTTGTCAGTAGCCAGCTGGAAGGTTGCAAATGATGAGCACATGGCCACAAGACAGTGCAACTGTGGTAAATACATGCCCAATTTCCAAGTGCCTTCATCCAGCAAAGGACTGATTTGGACTACCAACAAATAACCACTTTGAAAATATGACCTTACCCGTCATACTCGCTTCTGAAACACTAAACCAGGGGTCCCCAACCTGTGGGCCACAGCCCACTACCGGTCTGTGGCCTATTTGCAACCGGGCTATGTGAGTAGCTGGCTGGTGCATGTGCATGCGCGCACACAGCCCCACTTACATGAGCGTCACGGGTGCTCGGGGCCCCACACACATGAACATTGCAAGCGCTCGGGGCCCCACTCACACGAGCATCGCAGGTGCTCTGAGCCCCACTCACACAAGCATCGCAGGTGCCTGGGGCCCCACTCGCATGAGTGTCGCGGGCACTCGGGGCCCCACTCACATGAGTGTCGCAGGTGCTCGGGCCCTCATGATGGTCATGGGCGCTTTGGGCCCCACTCGTGCAAGCATCGCAGGTGCTCAGGGCCCCACTTGTGAGTGTTGTGAGTGCTCGGGGCCCCAATAGTGTGAGCGTTGCAAGCGTTCGGGGCCCCACTCGTGCGAGCGTCACGGGTCTTGTGAGCAGTGGGTGCCCCTCCCACAAAACCATTCCCTCTTTCCCCCCCTCCCTCCCTCCGGGCCGCCAACCCGGAAAGATTGGGGAACTTTGCACTAAACCAACTGAAAAAGAGGGGGAAGGGAAAACCTCAAGCTTTCCCTGGCCGGGGCAAAGACTGACCTGTGATCCCCATGGCTGGCATGTGAATGGAGGGTGTTGGGTAGAGCCCGGAGCCCCCAGGACCAGCTGGAGTCAAAGGCCCTGGT